TGGCAAAAAAAGGAGGGTGAAGGGTGTAGAAATAACACCGCTAATTATATGATATAGATAAACTTAGGCAAACAGATATGGAAAAAGATAGATATGAATAAAAAATGGAAGATATAATCATAGCTATATATGCATAAAAATATATAGATAGATATAGAGAGGGATTTATGAACTTAGATATGTACAGAAAGACAGATATGTTTAAACACAGATATATAAACAGAGTGATAATGTAGTAGACAGTGTTTGTTGGCTATATTATCATATACTGGAATTTCTGGAATTTAATCTAAATATAAAGATATTGTGTATGATATCATGTGTAAAAGGTATACGTAAACATATAGCACCGTAAAAATGTACTTATACGTATTCGAATTATTATTATTACAGTGTAACCCGGATATAAGAGAGTTGTCGGGACCGGAGAATAAGTCTCTTATATCCGGGTTTCTCTTATATCCGGGTTTGGTCTAATTTATATACATTAACACAGGCTCTAATTTGGGACCAGAGAAAATTTCTCTTATATCCGGGTTTCTCTTATATCCGGGTCTCTTATATCCGGGTTACACTGTATTATTATTATTATTATCAAAATAATAATAATAATGATAGTGCTTTCTTATTGATATAGCAATTTATGCAGATTGCAATGGAGCTTTGAAGATTTTTAAAATACTATCAAAATATAAGGATCTTGAAGTAGAACTCTCAAAAATGTCGTACATGAGGACATCAATAATTCCAGTTGTAGTTGGAGCCCTCGGATTGATTAGAACATTTTCTGATAGTCTCATGGAAGGGATTCCTTGTAGACATTCCTTACAGAAACAAAGAAACATTTTACTCAAAAGTATAGCTCACGCATTCCGAAGAGCTTCAATTACGTAGATATTTGATCAGTGGGAAATATCATGAAACCACTTCTGATTTTACGTCTTTGGTTGGGACCCGGAAGGAAATGTGTATACAACAGAAATGAAAGAAAATAATAATAATAATAATAATAATAATAATACAGTGTAACCCGGATATAAGAGAGTTGTCGGGACCGGAGACGAAGTCTCTTATATCAGGGTTTCTCTTATATCCGGGTTTGGTCTATTTTATATACATTAACACAGGCTCTAATTTGGGACCAGAGAAAATCTCTCTTATATCCGGGTTTCTCTTATATCCAGGTTACACTGTAATAATAATAGCATGAACTTCAGTTATCGAGATTATGTCAATGAAGACGACGCAAACGACATTAAGGCACAATTCCTTGAAAACAACAGAGGTGAAATCACCGAAGCGGAAAACCACGTCATTCAAGTAACTCAGCAGAGTAACTCTCACACAAATGTCAGACAGAGACAAGCTCCCAAAAAATTCATATGACAAAGTCCAATCGTGAAACTGTGCAAATATATAACTCTACACTGCAAACTCGGTTAACAGTCAAACCACTAGGGAACATCAGGGAAGTAAATAATGTCCTATACGCAACAGGAGGAATGTTGGCATTAACACAATAAAAAAAAGAAAAGAAAAGAAAACAGACAAAAAGAGCCACCTTGTTAGGTAAAAATGAAGCGAGAAATAAAGGAAATCAACTGAGAGTTATCTGGACGGGATGAGATCTCTAGAAACTCAAATGTCTCAACACACAAATGCCGGAAGGTCAAACGGAGATATAAAATTAAATGATTAAATGGCAGTTCACCAATCAAGGAAATACTAAAACAGAAACTGCAAGTAAAAGTACAGAGACGATACAAAAAGCGTTGGTTATCGCCAAAATAAGATATTCCAAACGGATCATAAGAAATTTTACAGCGAAATTAGAGAAGCAGTTATAGATGTCAGAAAGCCAACATCTATTGAAAAAGTGCAGAAATTTTGTGAGAATATTTGGAGCTGCCTAAAGGAATATAACACCAATGCAGAGTGGAATGATGGATAAACCTACAAAAAAATGGAAAAAAAAATATAACCAATACTAATAATTAATAAGCTCTAACGAATGAAGTCCCAGAATAGATCGCTGAAAGTATTACATATCTCCTGCCGAAAACGGGTGAAACATATAACCCAAAAAATTATAGGCCAATAACCTGTCTGCCCACATACAAATTGATGACGTCTGTCCTGATGAATTTTACTTACGCTTTTCTCTAAGAAACGACAAACTTCCCTTTGAACAGAAGTGATACAGGAAAGGTTCATCTGGTTGGAAATGTTATAAATTCATGAACAAAATGTTGCAGCAAAACTACAGGAAAAGAGGTGGAAATCTCAGCACAGCATTGATAGATTACCGTAAAGACATTGATAGTGTGCCAAACTCTTAGGACTTTGGAAATGTTCAAAGTCTCCTCAGTGCTAGTAAATTTCATTAATCACAGTATGGGAATGTGGAAAGCCACATTATACCTAAATCACATCAAAGTCACTGCCGCATCCAATCGCCTGAATAACTGACGAGGAATCTTTCAAGGAGACTCTCTGCCATCCCTTCTGTTTTGTCTGTTTTTAATCTCTCTTACGCATGAATTAAACAATAATGGCTATGGACAGAGAGTAAATAGGAAATTATTCAATCACCTACTCTACATGGATGATCTCTTACTCTTTGCAAAAGAAGGCAATGAATTGAAAGTTCTCGTCAAAACTGTAAAATATTTCAGTGATGTCATAGGTATGGATTCTAGATTAGGTAAATGTGCAACAGTAACAACCAAGAAAGGGAGAATTACAGAAGCACACTCAATACATCTAAAAATTGTCACAAAGTTTAAGAAACTGGAAGAAGAAGAAGCCTATGAGTACCTAGTGATTAGTGAAGGAGATGAAATACAGCATACCCAAATGAAAGACATAGTAAGAAAAGTATACTGCAGGCGTGTGCCTCTGGTATTGAATATCGAGCTGAATTTAATATATATATATATATATATATATATATATATATATATATATATATATATATATATATATATCAGTCATAAACACTATGGATGTCTCCGTGGTGCAATACCGTTTCAACATCCTTAACTGGACCATAGCTGACATTAAGCGAATAGACGCCAAAACGAGAAAGCTTACTACCTGTCATCTCATGCATCATCCCAACGCTGATATTGATCATTTGTATATGCCCAGATCCGAAAGAGCTAAATAATTAGTTCAACTAGAACTGTCTTACAAAACTACAACAATCGGCCTTCAAAGATACCTGAAAACTGCAGAAGGCTGGATGATGATCTGTGTCAAAGAATATGAAAGAAGTAAGAATCTTTATTCAGTAATAAAACAAGTTCAAAATGGAATTGCAAATGGGTGAGGTAAAACATAAATCCACCTACTGCAGCTTCGAAAACCTGGAATCAAAGATAAATGCAACCAACCCAATACAGAAATGAAATTTGTGATAAATATCCAGAAACAATTGGCCATCTTGTATCAGGTTGCACGGTATTGACACCCATTGCATATAAATTCCTTCATGAGAGATTAGTCCTATATCTGCATTAGAAAATCTGAAACTTATACGGAAATGAAACTGCAAGAAATTAGTATGGACACCACTGTGATCCAGTTAGATAGACAGGTCCTGTGACAGTTTTACGAGACTTTACAATACACCCAGACATAACAATGAAAACTAATAACCCAGATATTGTGATCCGAGAACGCAAAATACAACGACATTGAAATCAACATCTCAAAAATGTGGCAAATGAAGGCATCAACAAATACCGTTGTAGTTGAGACGTTGGATTGATTGAAAAATATTCCAATAAATTCCTTGAAAGGATTCCTGGCAGCCCATGCCTTTAAAAATACAAAAAAAAATGTATTCACAAGTACAGACCACACCTTACAAAGAGCTTTAAATATGAAAATATGTATAATCTTAGTACATTATATTATATTATAAAATCTATTTTAGTATATTATATTATATTATATTTATGATCTTAGTAGTTTTTTCCTCAAAAATGGTGGAAATATCATGATGCCATTTCTGGAATTAGGGCTCTGATTAGGACCCAGAAAGAAATATACACCAGAAATCAAATCAAATCAAATAATAATTATTATAGAAACACCAGTTTATACGCTTATTAAATATTTTATACACATTTCAAAATATAGTCCATTATTTTGAAATATATTTAATGTGGGCTGTTTAGATTAATAACTTAATTCAATAATAACAAAAGATTTTGCGTCTTTTCTTGCAAAGAATGCTATATAGTGTTGTGGATTCCGGGATGAAAGCCGGTACCAATAAATAACAAACGTCAAGAATGAATATAGGAAAATAATGTATTAACGCAATAATACAATCTGGTAATGCAGGTTAGTAGTTCCAGGAATGCGGGTTAGTAGCAAAATCTCTATACAGTCTTTGGTATTAAAGTATCGCGGTATGACTTCTTACTGAGCCTACGTGCTCGCTCATTGTGACTCTTGATCGCTACGTTCGTTCGGTCTGTCTGTTACCTTCACCCTCTGTTGCTCTCGTCTTGTCTCTCGGGGCTTCCTGTAGCAGTATACTGGGTGAGTCCATTTGTGTAAATAGGGGAGAACCCCTCAACATATAGCATTTTCTTACTACCTACTATATATCAGGTTGATGCCAACACATTCGCAACAATTGGTTCTTGATAATGACTGAGATAGTTGAAATTACTTAAACAAAAACAAAGCAAATCATCAAGTTTGGACAGATTATTCTCAGATTAGATTCCGACGTAAAACATAAAAATATGAATAAAAATTAAACACAAAAACCTTCTCGGTTAAATTTAACGAAGTTTGTTTGGATAAATTGTTGCCGGCTAAATATAACTTATTTAAAATATATATGCAAATAGATAGACCTGAATATAGGTAGATAGATTCGAACACATATATAAATATAGACAGCTAGATAGATTATTGGAACACATATATGTATATAAACAGATAGATATAAACAAACATAAATACAGAAAGCTAGCTAGCTAGATATGAACAGACTGATATAGATAGATAGATAGATAGATAGATAGATAGATAGACACACATGAATATAGAGAGATTTGTACATAGATATTAATATAGACAAGTAGACTGATATGAAAAAACGTATTAAAATATATCTAGAAAGATATAAAAAAAGATACGAATATAGACAGATAAATATAAAGAAATATATGTATTGATTCAAACTACACAATATTAAATGAAGGAACAAGACTACAATGTTGTATTGCGCGAATCATACCAAGGAAATGTACTTACCTCCTCAGGGTATCAAATAATTATATGGAGAAGATGTGGGATATTCAACGAGTCTCAGGAAATCAATTTAGGTTGAATTGTCATAGGTTAGTCAGTGAGGTTCTAAAATTACTATGTTAAAACTAATAAAATCTAGAAATTAGAAGGCGAAAGATTCTACAGTGTGAATATTTCAGTTTGAGAAGTATTTCATCCCAAATCATTCGGATCTCGCCTTCAAGATGCAATTTCAGAAAAGCAGAGATATATCTGCCGCCATTTCAAAGTCATCCTCTTCTGTACCAAGTCTGGAAATGTAAAAAAAACTGCAATTAATTCTGAGAATGGTGCAGCATCAGAAATTCTTTCCGTAGTCTATCTTTTTTAAAAGGATCTTAAAAGTTATAATATTTGTACAGAGACGAAAGTGTCAAGGTAATGTATTTACCAGTTGAGCTCCATTGTAGCGACATTGCCGGATCTGAGAGAAAAATTGACATAAAGAGTATTAAAGAAACATTGATAAAAAACCTTCGATAGAGAGTAGAAAAAATTGACTAAGAGAAAGAGAGAAGGAGAGAGAAAGACAAGTAGAGTGAAGGAGAGAGGAAAGAGACAAGATGGAAGAAGAATGAAGAGAGACATATGAATATTTCATGGTAGAATGTTCAGTATTCACACTTATATGGATTCAGACAAAAGGGGAGTATAGAGTAAATATAATCGTGCAAAATAAATGCATGTTCAATATACGCAAGTAGTTATACAGGTAGCGGGAAGGGTAGATAGATAGATAGATAGGCTTGAATAGACTGGGATAGATAGATAGATAGATAGATAGATAGATAGGCTTGAACAGACTGGGATAGATAGATAGATAGATAGATAGATAGATAGATAGATAGATAGATAGATAGATAGATAGGCTTGAACAGACTGGGATAGATAGATAGATAGATAGATAGGCTTGAACAGACTGGGATAGATAGATAGATAGATAGATAGATAGGATTGAACAGACTGGGATTGATAGATAGATAGATAGATAGATAGATAGATAGATAGGCTTGAAACAGACTGGGATAGATAGATAGATAGATAGATAGATAGATAGATAGATAGATAACATTAAACAATGGTAGGTAGATGGAAAGTATTAAAAATTAGAGAGAAAGAGAGAAATATAAAAAAAAAGTAAGATAAATAGATAACATTGAACAGAATAATAAGTAGGTAGATAAATATTAAAGTAATTATATATATATATATATATATATATATATATATATATATATATATATATATATATGTTATGGGTCCGATTCCTTGTACCACGATGATAGTCCAAGGTAGAACCAATAAAGAAGAACTCGAAGGCGGATATGGAATAACACAGATATATAACAAACAGGAATATACACAGAGAAGTAGAAAGTGTTAGTACGAACAATCAGGTTTAGTAGTAATTGTCTGAACGCGACTCTTGTTCGAACTGCCTCTGACTCGACTGACTGACTGACTGACAGACTCCTGAGGGACTTCCCTCCAGACTTCAGACGAAATTTTCTGCTTCCTCTTGAGGCGCATAGAATAGTCCTTTATGTTATTATGGGTAAGGTCCCATAAAAACACACACACACACACACACACATATATATATATATATATATATATATATATATATATATATATATATATATAGAGAGAGAGAGAGAGAGAGAGAGAGAGGGAGAGAGGTAGAGGAGAGAGAGAAAGGATTGATGGATATGAAAAGAATGATAGATAAAATTGAACAGAATGATATATAACTTTGAACAGAATGATAGATAGATAAATATTCAAAGAATATATATATATATATATATATATATATATATATATAGGGAGAGAGAGAGAGAGAGAGATAGAGTGATATATAGATATAATTAAATAGATGTAAATTTTAAATCATTTCCCACGAAGCAAAGCAATAAAGTCACTAAAACACAAAGGCTACTGACTGTGAAAGATTAGGAAAATAAAAACATTTTTAAGGAGTAAAAAACAATAAAAGAAAAGTAACCAAGAAGACAGTAGATTAGTATTATTAGTGCATTTAAATTTTAAATATCAAAATTGGCTGGAATGCAAGAGGCCAGAAGAGAGTTCCAAAAGCGAGAAGTGCGCAAAAAGAAACTGGTAACGTAGAAAATACGAGCCAATTCAAGTAGAATTGATGAGGATAAATTCATAGTCTTGGTACGACCGAGGGAAGTTCCTCAGAATAGTTAACGTGAACGTATTTATTGAAAAAGCACAGGTAAGCAACATTACGGCGATGGGAAACTGACTGAAGCCGTGACGCCAGGTCAGGATCAAGAACATATAAAACGAGAACTATATATATATATATATATATATATATATATATATATATATATATAATAATAATAATAATGGACTAATTAATAATGGACTCTTCCTTCGGTTTCGACGTATGAAGATCTGACAGCTTAGTTGATTCAATTATGAAATCTTGTGCGATAATCTTAAGTGGCATTTAAGATCCGCCGGTGATTTACAAAGGAGGCCACATTTGGAGCAAGTGTGAGGATTGTGAGATGAGATCACTGTTAGATTGGCTGAACTTTTAGATCTTGCTCTCGCTTCTTGAAGATGATTCACACAAGCAGATTGATAAATGCTGAGTCCACTAAAACACGTTCTACCCGCTCGAAGTTTAAGCGCTCAAGGGTGTTATGTGGTAAATTGACTGCTGACAAGTTGCTTTTCATCTTGTCGTTGTATCGTAGCCATGGGCGTCCTACATTACTGTAGCCCTGATCTAACTAGGTGTACATTAAGATCTTGTGTATCCTGTCATCAGACATCCTCAAACATATATATATATATATATATATATATATATATATATATATATATATATATATAAAAAACAGGATTCCATTACTACATAAGAGTTCTCATGTATCAAAACAAGAGCCGAAAACTTCAATATTAAAGAACTTTGGATTATTTACCCAACGACTTCTTCCCTATTTTCTATTTTCTACATATTTTACACACACACACACACACACACACACACACACACACACACACACACACACACACACATATATATATATATATATATATATTATTTATTTATTATAATTTTATCATATAGACAAAACTATTTTACTCACTACAAAGATGCGACTTGGTTTCAGTGCATTTCAACTGCACTTCGAAGGGTGAGAATCGAAAATGGTTATGAACAATCCTGCTTGTAAGCAAGTCGTATGCGAAACTTCACTTCCTTTCTTCCATTTATTTAAAAAGAAAAATATACATAAAAAAAAAAAATATGTGACGGAGTGGAACACTAGTGCTTGTTGATAGTAGTTTGGTGAAGAATAGATTGGGTGTTTAATGTTGATTGGTCTGTGGAAATTTTTTTCCCGATAAGCACCGGTCAAAAGTTTAGGCACTTCATCTCACAAGAGTCCTAAGAGTGAGAGGAAGGGGAGGAAAGATGGAGATAGGGGATAGTATTACGTTTAAGTAGGTAAAAATTGTAGCGATACTTCTAGTAGTAATTGGGAATGTTATTTTTGGTTTACTATAAAAATTCTAGAGCTGAATTGCATGTATTTATGTTGGGGTTATCACTACTAATTCTGTAATCAATGGACGTGCTTTGTGTATTAAAATTTAGAAGTGATTTTCTCTAAAAAAAATAATAAAGGATATTAATATAACCTTTTATAATCAAATTTTGAAATATTCCTGGACCGTATAGCGTGTAGAATAAGTATGGGTGTAAAACGATTTATCTGAAAATATTACCAGTAATATATATGAAAAAAATCTTAAGAATTATAATTTAAATTAGTGGAGAGGTACATAAGAGGGTAAGGAATATATTGAAGGAGGTGATTTATAATTTTAAAACGGTTATACGTAAGAAATTAAGAATTTAACAAGATTGAAGTGTTAGATTCTTAGTATGTCTACAGAAAACGGTTATTTCATATCTTTGATTTAATAATTGGGTGTAATTCACGAGCTCAATGATACATATTTTCTCCTGTAAACATAAGAAGCAAGGTTCGTTCAGAGAATTGCAGGTTCTGGCTTGTCTTAGGATTTTTCATTTAACGTTAGGTGTTTTTCCTTCTTCGTTGAGTTTCCAAAAATATTTTGAAAATAATTATTGCTCTACTATCGGTATCGAGCCCTCTTTTGGATTAATGCTGTGAACGTTGGAATTTATATATTACTTTCATTATCATTGCATTGGGCATATATATATATATATATATATATATATATATATATATATATATATGATATTGAAATAAAAAAATATTAAAAAAATAAAATCTTCAGACACACTGGGCTGTAGATTAATATTCTTTCGTTTTTTATTATTATTTCATTTAGATTCATCGATTAGTTTCGACCAAAATGGCCATCATCGGCTGCTAGCAGTAAAATCCAGAAATATATATATATATATATATATATATATATATATATATATATATATATATATATATATATATATATGTATTGTTTGTGTGTGTATGAAAATTATATAAATTAAATTATTAGTTGCGTTATATATATATATATATATATATATATATATATATATATATATGTATTGTTTGTGTGTATGAAAATTATATAAATTAAATTATTAGTTGCGTTATATATATATATATATATATATATATATATATATATATATATATATATATCCTCTGCAGGTTTTGAATTCAAACTTGACCTTCTAATAGACTATTTGCCACCAATCTGTCCTGATATTTACACACACACACACACACACACACACACACACACACACACACACACACACACACACACACATATATATATATATATATATATATATATATATATATATATATATCATTCAAAGGAATACTGTTTCACTGCATCACAGCTCCTCCCTACGAGTAGACATTTGAATGCCTTAAACCAGCCGAAACTCTGTTGATTTGGTGCCAGTCAGAGTTTCTAACACTAAGCGATGAGAACGAAAGTAATATATAAATTGCAATATATACCATGATTCTTCTTGGGATTTTAACAAGTCTCTCTAAAATCTAGCAGGAACATCAGGCCATATTGAAAGCATGGATCAATGGTAGACTTATAAATATATAAGGGAAATTCTGGAGAGAAAATTGTCTAGCACGACACAGTGAATCAACTTTCTTAACAGAAGAATTATCAAATAATTCAATATAATCTTCCCACTTCATGTAATTAGAGAACGTAAGCTAGAGGTTAGAATCAGTCCTGTTAATGAAAGCAAACAAAGATTGTCTTAGACTATTAAAACAGATCAGTTTTGTTTTGGAGTCATTAAAATTAACAAACCGTTCTTTGCACATCTTTACAGCAGATTGTAGGTAATTTATTTAGATTTTAGATCAGCTGAATATTTGTCTTTATCGAACCGATAAGACGTACTATTAAGACAGGGCTAAATATTTGTGTCATGTTTTTTATTTTTGTGCGGCTCCATGCTATCCAGCCAAATTTAATCTGCAAAACTTTAAATGCAATGTCGATCGCTATCTACTGCCATCCTAATTACACTTTCTGTTCATTATTAATGTTCATGCTCCTAATTCTTCCACACTCTGTAACCGCTTGGGTTGTAGTGGCGTGCATGGGCCGAAACAGATTTAAAACACACATACACACACACACACACACACACACACACACACACATATATATATAATTATTTATTTAAAAATATGATTCTAACTCGCGACATAAGAAGTTGGAATCATATTTTGAAACAAATAATTATATTTATGCTCTACTTTTTTATCGACCACTATTTTTAAAAAATAATAACTAAAATACTAAGGAACTTTGGATTATTTACCTTACCAGTTCCTTCCTATTTTCTATTTTTCACACACACACACACACACACACACACACACACACACACACACATATATATATATATATATATATATATATATATATATATATATATATACACCTTATTTTCCGGCTTACAAGGCGCTGCGGCATGGAAGACGCACCCTAATATTGGAAATAAATGTCTAAGAAAAAAAAATTCTCTTATAATAA